ATTTACATTTTTAATACATTCTTCAATGATGTGAAATAAATGTTCATATAAGAAATGCATGTTTGTATAACAGGTCCTACGTCAGATATCTTTGTTTCTGACGAAAAGACAATTCTGATTGTTGGATCATCTGGATCAGGCAAAACAACTCTAGTTGACGGCTTGCTGAACTACATCTCCGGTGTCAATTTTGAAGACAAATTTCGGTTTTCTATGATTGAATTAGAAGAAATGAGAAAAAAGGAGGTGATCAGGTAAAAATACAAAATATTTTAATCTACACAGAACATAAACAGGGGCCTGAACCCTTGACCTGGCGTCATTTTTTTTTTTTTTTTTTTTTTTTTTTTGAAATATGGTTAAAAGTATAGCAGTGATTGTAAACATGTAAATAGGGTACCTGTATCTCACAGATTCCACGACGATTCTAGATTTATTAAAAAAAAATATATAGTGTATTAAAATCTGTAGCTCCCTGGTACAAGATAATTGGGAAGAACATAACTCTTCGCAACCAATCAATTGTCAATAGCCTTCCTGATATTGAAATCGAGACCATGAAAAGGCTGTGTAAACAGGTAAATTTTCGTTGGTGTCACGTTCAAGATAAGAAGGGCTATATACAATTATTGTGGGGATTCTTTTATTGTAAAAGTAGCAAGAGAATATCTAAGAAACACACGGTTTATAAAATTTTGAGATGCCAACTCAATTGTATGGAAACATAACTCTCGAAACGTGCTCACATTTTTTTGCGCATAAAATACATACCTTTTTCAACGGGTGGACCTGTAGGTCCTTGGTTCCAGAATTATTCTAGAAATTCAATGTTTACATAAGATTTTTTGAACTTTGAAAATAAAATATGTTGCTACTAACAAAACATTCATTACCACTTCGGATACCAATTTTCAAACCTTTGTGTATGACATTTTGATTAATATCACAGCAAAATTTTCTTAAAGTTTACATGTGGACATATTTTACAAAATGGCATGGTTTATGTCGAAAACATATTTTTAGTGCTCTTTCAAAGGATCCCATGTTTATCAAATCATTGATATCATAATTCTATAAGTTACTTAATTTTTTTTTTATTAAACGTTAACTTTATTTCATACAGGCTTTGTCACAAACAGAATGGATTACCGTTTATACAATTGGCCCATTAGAAGGAGGTCGAGTTCCTTTTCGATTAAATATCATTGACACTCCAGGCTTCGGAGATACTAGAGGAATAGAGCAAGATAATAAGATTATGGAGCACATTCGTGAGTTATTTTTAGCAAAAGCTCCTTGTGGTGTAGATACGATTGATGCAGTCTGTTTTATAGTAAAAGCTCCTGATGCACGTCTTACTCCAATTCAAACCTACATATTTTCCTCGATTCTGTCAATATTTGAACATGATATCGGACCAAATATTTGCGCACTTATCACATTTGCAGATGGGAAAGACCCCATAGTTTTACAGTCTTTAAGAAAAGCAGATGTACCTTTTGGGGGTTGGTTTCCCTTCAACAATTCAGCCTTGTTCGCTGAAAATTTGAATCTTGCTGAATCGTCTTTTACTCCTATGTTTTGGCAAATGGGGATGAGAAGTTTCGATCGATTTTTCGACCATATAATCCACCTCAAGCCTAAAAGTTGGAAACTAACACAAGATGTCCTGCAGAAGCGAAAAAATTTACAAGATCTTTTATATGATATCCATCCTAAGATAAATGAAAGTCTTTTAAAAATTGATCAGTTAAAAAGAGAAGTTGACATATTCAAGGAAAACGAAGAAACTATCAAGGCAAGTAAAAATTTCAAATACGAGGCCGAAGAATCAACTATTATTACAGAAAGGTTACCTCCGGGGACACATGTTACAAACTGCATACAATGTAATACAACTTGTCATTCAAACTGCGGTATACCAGACGACGATGATAAGCGACGTTGCTGTGCAATGGATTCCAATGGCTATTGTACTATTTGTTCTAAGAAATGTTTATGGAGTCGTCACAGAAACCATCCATACAAGTATGTAGTAGTTGTAGAAAAAGTTCAAAAAAATTATGAAGATGTAAAGAAAAAGTTTGAGATGGCATGTAAGAAAAAACTTACCGTAGAAGAAGTTATTCAGAAACTAGGCAACGAAGTGGTGGAGCAATTCGAACACACAAATGAAATGATGAAAAGAATGAAAGACATTAAAAACAAGCTTCAGGAAATTGTTTTAAGACCTGATCCCCTTTCTGCTGTTGATCATATCGATCTTATGATTAGAGCAGAAGAAATGGAGAAAAAGTACGGATTTGAAAGACGAATAGAAGTCCTCAAAAAGTTTAAGGAATTTGCCTGTACAGAAGACAAATTTGATGAATTACGTGCAAGCATGCAAAGTTTTAAGGATGATATAAATAAAGTTGGAGAAAAAAAAATCATTCATCGCAAAGTTATTTCAGGTCGAGATAAGTTTTCCAAGTTTACCGAAAATGCCAAGTTTATTTAAAAAGAGCAAATGATGCAAATTGTTTTGGGTCGAAAATAGGGATCTGATACACTTAAAAAAAAACAAAAAACTTTGCATTGTCTGCATATAATAATATCTAAATAATAACTCTTCCAAATTTTATTTTCAATAATGCAAATCTCATCAGACAGTGATATACGCCTAAGGGATTTATCCTTCATAAACTAATTGAATAGTTACATGTGCTGAGTGAAACAGATTGCCAGATTCTATTGATTTCATATGGTAGGCAAATAATCATTCTTTCAGCATAAAAGATTATACCGATCTTCAACAACAGGGGCAAACATTTTGACATGGACTTTTGAATGACATTGATACAATTTATATAAGCAAGTTTGTGCATTAGGAGCTATTTAATGTAAAAGTATTTGTAGAGATGTAGACAAGAAATAATTATTTTTTTCAGGTCTCAAGACATTCAATTAAGATCAGTCCCAAATCATAATTTCAAATAAATCTAATTTTTAAAATAATTTTGAAAATGAAATTATTTTTCTCCCTCATTTGTTTTATTTGAATATTTTGCAGATTTGTAAATTCTAAGAGTGTGGTGTTAAAAAAAATCAAGATATTCAAAATTTAATTTTAACTTAATTCAGTTTCAAATTTAGTGGTTTTGGGACCAGGTTTTGCTAACACCAAGTATATTTTGAGCTTTTTTTTTTAATTTCATCTTGCTTCTGTATATTTTTATGATTTTACGATCAATCTTTTTAGAATAGCTTAATTGAGCGGTTAGAAAAAAAATATAATGGCTTTTCCATTTTTACAATTGTTTCAACATGTAAGTACGGTTTATCACAAAAATTACGCGATTTGACGAGAACACAATATTGTACGACTTACTATATTGCTTATTTCCAAGCGATAATTAGTACGTTCTGCTTTCAATTATGTAAATCGCGTTTCATTCATTTTATTTGGGAAAAAAAACAGACAAGCGAAATGCTTGTATAACAAATAACATTCCGATAAAAACTTACAAAACGAAATTTAAACGTTTCTTAACGCACGATCAGGCACGATTTAAACCGCAAACGATTGAGTCTGATACACGCACGATCTCGCACGTTACACGAACGATTCTACACGATTGGTTTGTCAACAATAACGTTCCAGCCACTGTATCTGAGGATCTATTAAATTAGGTAGCATAAAGAAAGAGCTTTGTAATTTTTACATATAATGGACAACAACTTCGTCTTACGATCCATTTCAACTATTTCATGAAATCCTCCTTATTTTTTTATATGAAAAGTGGTGGAGAAATGGGGTTGTCATATTACATTTCGGAAAATCGGGACTGTTGAGAGTCACAATTATATGGAAGCCAGTGTCTTTAGGCGAATAAAACATTTGCAACGATTGATTGAACTAACGCCATATTCTTCCCCAGATGTTTTCATTCAACGAGATTTGGACTTTGAAATTTCATATTTGACTCAAACATATAAATCGAGTGCCAACGAGAATAAGCGAGGATTCATCAACGCCTGACCAGGACCAGGAAGTCCACGATTTACAGACAAAGTCTATTTGAAACAGAAAAACAAGAGGCAATTCTATGAGGCGCTCGATGTTTAATGCGCCAGGTTTTAGTCGTGGTTTGAAAACACAATTATGCAAAGATGAGGATCAGAGCTTAAATCCAATTTTACCTACAAAACACCAGAGCCATCAGAAGCCTAAACAGGCAGCTTGTCGCAGAAAACCAGACACACCCGGGGTTAGAAGACCATACAACTTGGGCAGGACCAAGAAGTAAAAGCTAGAGAAGCTAGTTTCGGAGGTTGCGGACTCCCATGTTTGTCGCGCGTTTCCAAATACCGTCCAGTCCTCTCGAAACCAGGAACACGAACTATCAAAATTTTTGGGACAATTGCGATAGGGCAGTGCTGGAGCGGGGTGTCCGACACACGCAAGTGACTCTTCTTTTAAGGAACGGATATTTTTCCTTCAAGACTTTTAAAATAAAGATAGGACAGGTAGGACATCATTTTTTTTCCCAAAAATGTCCACTTCTTTTAAACTAGAAAAATTTAAAGGTGACGGTACACAAAATGTTGTTATGTGGTTGACAATTTTTTTTTTTTCAATTGGCAAGATTTCATGATTTAACTGATAGCAAGATTGTTGATGCGTTTCCCTTTCATTTACAAGGGCATGCAAAGGTATGGTATGATTCTCTACCTTTTGAACAAAAGTCAAATTCAGATACCTTAACATTGTTTCAAGAAAGATTCACAGAGTTTGGCAATTTTTTTTTAGATTTGTCAGAGTTGCAAATGAAAAAAAAAATGTTACAGAATCAGTAGAATATTTTTTAACAAGACTAATTAAAGCTGCTTCAATCAAAAATATTCCAGAAAATGTCTTATTATTGGTTGCTCTGAACGGGTTAAGGAATAATATCAAAACTTTTGTAGTAACACAAAATCCTAAAACAATGGAAAAAGTAAGGCAAATTGCTTTCTTGGCAGAGAAATCTCAACCATCTCAAATAGATACTTTGGAAACTTACGAGAATTTATTGGCAGAAATCAACAATATACAAGATATAATTTTAAAACCAGAAATCAATGCCGTCAATTAATGTAAAAAAAAATATATAGGGTGAATTCACCATGCATCGGACACCCTTGCACTTCAACAAGTTCTAGTGATATCGCTACCGACCGAATATTATCAAAATGGAACTTAACATGTAGTATGTGGTTAAAATATAAATTTTTGACACAATCTTGCCCTATTTATTGAGAAAATATCATTAAAAACCGATTTTTTCGAAATAAGTCAGAATTTACCAAGGATCGGACAATATTCACCATGCATCGGACATACGATATTTGAACCAGAAAAATATCATACCTTGAACTTGGTGCTTTAAAATTAGTGATATCGAAAGATTTTTATCTTTTATTTAAAAATTAACCTTCTAATTAAATTTGAATGACTATTTCGATCCTCAAATATGAAGAGTTTTTAGTTGCATCAAATCGCCTTAGAAAGGCTTTACAATGCTAGTATAATATGACAACTCGCGCCTTTGTCTCGTGGGTTATAATCATCTAGTTTAAACAAATAAATTGAATCCACTTCTAGTCATCATATATCGATAATTTGTATTTTCACTGAAAATTTAGAGTTTCTATTTTCTATTTCCGTAAAAAACAGCTGTCATTTGGGTTTTACATGAAAATGGAAGTGATTACCCATGCATCGAAAAGTGTCCGATGCATGGTTAATTTGTGTCCGATGTACGGTGAAATAAACATACTAGTTAAAAACAACTCTAAAATATATAATACAAACATTGAAGTAAAATTTTTGAAAATTTTCTGTAATATTATCAATCATTGGCAAATTTTACCAAGGTCCGACCCATTCCGTTGACGTCTATTTAAAAGAACGACAACTCTAAAAATTGCAAAATCGTAAAATTCTGGTTACTCCCCTTTGATGATGCAAAATATGACGTAATTTCAAGGCCATTCTTGTGGTATTTTTATCACAACATGAAAATAAAAATCGACATCATTAAAAAGTTTAATTCTTCATCTTTAAGACAGAAACAAGTAAAAACATGGGGAGACTCAGGTTCAATGAAAGTTTATTGCTTGAAGTTGTCCGAAGCAAGGTATGTGTCCGATGCATGGTTAACTCACCCTACATATTGTTGTGATAGATTCTGTTTAGTTTGAATATATTGTTTTTGGTCTTAGAATTTCTCTGGTCACTGGATAAATTGATTGTCAGCTCCGGGATCGGTATGCGCGTTTTGCATGTGAGAGGTTTTTAGACACAGGGGAACAATTCTTACAATCCCCTGGTCTTGACCCGATTGACCCAAGTTAGCTGGATTATTAATATTCCTTTATTTCTCAAAATGACGTTCCAGTTTGAATCTACTCTTCCTAGGATTTATATTACTCCCTTCCGGTCCATAGCGCATCACAGGTTATTGGGAGTGGCCCTAGCTGTTACCCAACCTATATAAATGCAACCAGAAAGAGATAAAATCCAGCAGACCACCCTGTATTAAATTAACACATACATCCTAATTATTTACAATTACTAAAGATACACAATACACAATAAATAAACATTATAATAAATAAGAAACATTACTATTAGATTATAAAATATATTAACCTGTAAATATATTGAGGCATCTGAAAATATTACCCATTTTACAAAAATCGCACAAGTCTATAAAAATATCTTACCTGTATAAATGCAACCAGAAAGAGACAAAATCCAGCAGACCACCGGCTGGTTATGTCTCACTGCACTACATTTATACCCCCGAACATGTCCTGCATATTTGAGTATTTCTTCAATATTTGCACTAATGACTTTTGATTTTGCTCTGAATTTAAATTAAAATTTTCCGAAATTAACCCTTCTTTTTATCTTAAATTGCTCTTTAAAATTCTTGTTGAACTTTTTGCATAATCTTGACTTTTTATTTCCTGTAGGTAATTTATACGGATGCATGACCTCTGATCCCTTGCATCAACCTCTTTGATTGGTTACACCCTTATTTTTGACCAAACCTGCATCTTATAAACAAGTTCTTAATCTACAAACAAATAGCAAACTTCATAGAGCTAATTAATAGCGGTGAAAAGTTCATCCTGCACTCCTGCCCAGCATCTGTTTTCTTCTATTTTTATCCTGCAAGATCGGCTAAACCTAAATACATTTCTTACTTCACCCTTGAGATTCATCAATTCCACAATATTCTGTTTTAATGCAATTTTTGTTATGATAAATTCCCCCCACTAACAAAAATCTTGTCCCCAAGATTTGGTTTACATATTATTAAAAGGATTTTTACGTAATATCTCTATATTTTCAGATGACTTCAACACACACACACAAAAAATCCAAATTAAAACTAAACATGCACAAGAAGAAAATATTCACATATAGTACGTTTATATAGTACGAAAAAAATTACAATATATATATTT